TTTTTTTTTAATTCTTTTATTGGCACATTTTACATATACAATACACTTACATTTATCATTGGGTGCTTGTACCTGTACATGACGTATCTACGCTCTTATTTTTTTCTCATTACCTGTGCACCCTTCACCCCCTCCACCCTTCCCTATTTACATAGATTGTGTTTCCATTTTTTTTCTTTCTCATAGTTTTTCCTTTCCCTTCTTCCCTTTCCCCTTCCCCTCCCACCACCCCTACGTCTTGGACCTTTTCCTATTTCAAATTATAAATTATTCATTTTAATCCTTTTAATCCTTATTTACACTTTTAGTTTCTCACACTAAAGAAACTATTCAGTATTTACACATGTGTGTCCTATTTATTTCACTTCAGAGTATGGCCTCGATATGCATCCAATTCGCTATAAATATCTCCAGTTTCTCGTTCTTTATGGTTGAGTAGTAATCCATTTTATGAAAAAACCACATCTTCTTTATCCAGTTTCCAGCTGATGGGCACTTGGGCTGTTTCCAAGCTTTAGCTATTACAAAATGTGCCGCTATAAACATGGGTGCACATACATCGCTGTAGTATGATTCTTTTAATTGTTTGGGGAAGATACCCAGCAGGGGAACAGCTGGGTCAAATGAGACCTCTAGCCCTAGTTCTATGAGGTATCTCCACACTGATTTCCATAGTGGTTGCACCAGTCTGCACTCTCACCAACAATGAAGAAGGGTTCCTTTTTCCCCACCACCCACCAACATTTGTTATTGGTTGATTTCTTGATAGCAGCCATTCTTTCTGGGGTGAGGTGAAATCTCAACATTATTTACATTTGCATCTCTCGAATGACCAATGATGTTGAACATTTTTTCATATTTTTATTTGGTATTTCTACTTCTTTGCCAGAGAAATGTCTGTTCATTTCAGATGCCCATTTTTGGATTGGGTCTATAATTTGGGAGGTCTGATTTTTTTAAAGTTCTTTATAGATTCTAGATAGTAGACCTTTGAAGAACAGCAGGTCAAAATTTTTACCCACATTGTGGGTTGTCTCTTCACACTGTTGGTGGATTCTCTTGCTGTGCAGAAGCTTTTTAGTAAGAAGAGCTCTCACTTGTCGATTGTGCTAATTCACGGGAAACTGAGGTTTTGTTCATAAAGTCTTTTCCTACACCAATGTCTTTAAGAGTTCTACCTAACCTCTCTTCCAGCCAGTTGAGTGTTTCTGTTTTAATATTTAGATCTTTCATCCATTTTTATTTTAGTTCAGTGCATGGTGAGAGATATGTCTAGTTTTAATCTTTGGCAAGTTGAAACCCAGTTTTTCCAGCACCATTTATTAAAGAGGCTATCTTTCCTCCAGTGAGGGTGTTTGGCTCCTTTATCGAAGATGAGAT